GTTTGCTCTGGGCAATGATGAATCAGTGAGTGAATGAGTGAGTCATTCAGTCAGTCAGGACAAGCAATTTTATATATTTAGATAACACTGAAACATTATTATAAATCTTGTTTAAATTTATAAATTATTATAAATTTTAAAAAAATTATAAATACTTCTTAAAATTTAATCTTCTATAAAATAAATTTAACAAAACTATTATATCTATAAATGTATTTAGTTGAAATATATTTATGTATAGTGTTTATAAAATAAAATTGAGTATTTTGTTGTTATTTAATATAAGACATAGGTTTAAATTCAAGAATAATGATGTTTATTTCAGCCCAAAGTAGCAAAACAAAAACTTATTCATCCAAATAGTAGAAAAGCTCAACAGTTGTCAAAGAAACAGCATCATAACATACGTGTTGAAAGGTAAATTTATCATAAATATTTTTTTTTTATTTCTTAATTATGTTTTGTGTTAAATGAATGGTTACAGGTATTGCAATGATGTCTACTATCAGCAAATCACTGTATCTTGCACTGTTGATTGTATGCCCCTTTTCCAGGTAGTCTTCCAGTGTAGGCCCTTGTGAGTCCCAAAAAACAGCATCACCTTTCCTGTGGAAGGTTGAGTCTTGAATTTCTTCATTGGAGATCTCGGGTGTTTCCATTGTGTACTTTGCATTTTGGATTCTGGCTTATAGTGATGAACCCAAGTTTCATCCGTGATTATTCTACTCAAAAATGTTCACCTTTATTCTTGTAGTGGTCTCAAGAAGTTTGCACTTATGCACCCATCTTGGTATCAATCTTGCACAGACTTTATGGAAGCCAAGTTTGTTGTGGATGATTTAATAGGCAGAACCTTAACTAATCTTCAGAGAACATGCTACATTGTTGATGGTAACTTGCCAGTTTAACAGTACCATTTCTTGAACCTTTTCATCATTGGTGGAGGTTGACAGGTATCTTGCTCCCTCTTCATGCATCATGCTTGTCCAGTCAGTTTTAACTTCTTGATTCACTCATCTTCACTTCTGTGGTATAGTGTCCCCTTATTGTGTTGTAAACCTCCAATGAATTTCAGCTTGTGATACACTTTCCAATTTCTCTGGTCTTTCTGACCAGAGAAATTGGATCACTGCTCTTTGTTCCTCCTTAGTGCACACTGCTAGTGGAATGGCCATGTTTACACTGAAACAAACACAAGAGAAATGACTCTATCAAGGTCAAACTTCAATAATATGACCATGGTAGTAACAACTCTAAGCATATGCAGAATTCAGTATGACAAATCTAACAATTTGTTTTGGCAAAAGTGTGGATAATTTTTAACTTTCCTACATATAAATAAGTGATGCAGCTCTTCAATAGACATTCCAAGAGAGGATGGAATGTAAATATTTGTGAGCACAATGTTGGACTTCTTTATTGCTAGACTTATCACATCATCACTGACACAAGATGATGTCTTGTGCCAGTGACGATGTGATAATATGTGTCAATATGATAAATTCTTAAATTTTTATTGTCAACATAATCTAACTTTCATGTTTTTAATTAGTAATACCAAACTATCTGCTGGATTTTTATTAGCTGTGTTAAAGCTAATTAATAATCCATGAATAACTGGTATGATTATATCTAAATTAATTAATAGCTCTGGAAGTGAAGATTGATGGTGATCCAGGTAATGTCCATGCAACTGCATGGTAAATAGGAGTTGCATATTCAAGTCATGCTCTTGGCCAATTCTTTTCTTCCTTAGTTTACATAATTAAAATTAAAAATAAAAATTAATTTATTTAAATTTATTAAATTTACCATGAGATTGCAATGAAATCCTCTGTCTCTAGCCAAATTGCTCTGTTTTGGAGTATTTATTAGCCTTAATATAGCCTGATAAAAATCTAGCAGATCTATTATTATATGTAATTTTGCATGTACCGGTACTTTGAAATACTATTTGTCTAGAAAAACTGGTAAAAATGTTAGTAATCACTATTTCATGTTTTATGGGCATGTATACTTTCAGTAGTCGACTTACCTGGTAATTCTGTGGGTGACTGATTCTTTAATGTTTTTGAGCATCTACTTATAGAGATCTGGAGATTTTATTTGATTATCAGAGGTGAACTGGAGACTTGAACATGTAGCCAATTTTTTTACTGTGCAACACAGCCCATTGCTTGGTCCTTTGCCTTGTGATGTTGCAAAAAAGTACCAGGTTAGGTTCATAACTCATGATGGACAGTTAAGAGGGGAATGGAGGGAAGGGAACACATTGTCATTACATGCCATCCCATGCAATATCAGACACAGCATTCTGCTTCAGGGTCTATAAACTGATGTCAAGCATGCCATATGCTTCATTAACTATAGATACAAAAATCAAACTCTGAACTATTGTTCTCTGTCCCTTAACTTCAAATCCAACAAACTGCATCTCTGCATTGCACTTACATTCCAAGATGAATTCAATTAAATTTTTCAAAAAGTTTAAAATCTGGAAACATAAAAACTATTGAAAATGAAAATTTTATAAGAATGCTTTGGCAGGGCTTCATATAGATGCAAAATTGAACCTATTCTGAAAATCATCAAAATCTGGTATCATGAAGGTCAACTCCTGTCTAAATCCTAACTACTTCACATACTAACTACTACATTACAGTAAAATCTTGTTCTAACAGATCATAGAACAATGGACTTTTTTTCCAGGTCCCGCCAAATCAATGTAATTTTACCTCTTTTTAGCAGATCTGTAACTCAGAATAACAGATTTTTTCTGGCTCCATCTTAGATAAATATCGTTTTTTCAACCTTTAATTAATAATTGGATGTTTCTGAATACTGAATTTAAAAAAATGCATTGCATGCTGTGCAAACTAAGGGCATAATCATCACGGTTCTCACTGCTAACATTGCAGCCATGCATTAGGCCCTCATGTAATGTGTTGATTAGTACTTCCTGCTTAATACTTCCAGATATGCATGTGTATGCAACAAAGGTGTGCCACACCTTTGTTGTGAACACATGTTTGAGAATATCAAACCTTAAAATCATGTTCACATAACAGTAACATTTTGTGCTGGCAATGTCACCAAAAGAAGCACAGAAATGTTGCTTTATCAGAGTAAACCAACATGTATGAGTATTTTAACATTGTGAAGTGTTAATGATCATATGTACTTTGTAGCTTTTTGGCTCATAATGTATACAGTTTTTGTCAGCTTTGTTACAGCATAATGTACAATCTTTTAATGTATGTGTTTATATAAAATAAAGGATAGAAATCTCAAGAGAATGAATAATTTCGAGTACAGTTGTTTTTTACATAGGGGGTTTAGAAATGAAAAAATTTTTCAAATAACAAGTACTTTCCTGAGTGCAAGAAATTTGTTGTTCATGATATAATAGATTTTCAGAACAATGGATAATTTTCAGTGTCCCGAGTGATCTGTTAAAATGAGATTCTACTGTAATTCCTTTATAAAATATATCATACAATGAATAAGAAACTGAATGATGAAAGTATTTAAACTATATTATTGCATCTGAATATGCTTTATTTGTTTTATCACAAAGTTCAAAATATGCATCATTCTAAGTAAAAAAATAGTAAAAAGACATGGCCGGTGTTAATTACATTTAATAAATATATTAAAAATACGACATTTTCACAAAAGTGAGAACCTTGCTTCTGTCAGTCTTTCCACCGTTTCATTTCTATACCATCAGCGATCCTTAATTCTGTTTATTATGCAGATTTTTGAAAACATCAAAAATAATAAACAAAACAATGAAACAATCAAATAAATTTAACTGTAATTTTTTTTTTATTTATTTTGATATTACTGAAAATCCTACTAATTTAGTTAATATATATCAATATATTTCATATCACATTTTTATGTTTACATTATAACATACAAATGTAAATAAATTTTGATCAAATTTTTAAAAAATTTCTATTATAATTTGTCCATGAAATATGTTTTATACATAATAATTATTTCATTTCCAGGAAGAAAGATGAATTGAATATTAAGCAACAAATTTTATGTAAGTTTTGAAGACATTTTTTAATCATTTTTAATAAATTCTTTTATCTTATTAAAGAAATTTATAATTATTATTTTATTGTGCATTATTTAAAATGTGTTTAAATTCAATAATATTATATTTTCATATTTCAGTACAAAAACTGCTATGGTTTAAAAATAATTTGAATGAAGATGAAGTTGTTTGTGCCAAAAATGTTTTAGATCTGATAGAAAGGTAAGCTATTGCCATCACTTCTGTTATATTGATATATATGTAAACAATTAAAATAGATTTATTAATAATTTCAGTTTATGTTTTTTCTTAATAAAAAATAGTGAAGATTTTTTAAAATTAGTTATTAATTAAAATAAAACTGTTTAATTCATAACAGACATTACCACATTTATATTTAAGATTTTAACAAAATTATCTACTTTTTAAAGGTATTTAAATCGTTTTAGTGATGAATTAGAACAGATTGATATTATTAATAATATCAAAGGTAGGACAGGAATACAGCATGCAGCCAGAAAAGATAGCATAAAGTTTACAATAGATCAAGAAAAAAATGATTTTCAGACATGTGGATTAGGTAATATACTTTTAGTTAATTACATTACAGTGGTACCTCAGGATACGAAATTAATCCATTCTGAAACTGAGATCGTATCATGAAAATGTCGTAAGGTGGTACTGTGCAACACAGCCCATTGCTTGGTCCTTTGCCTTGTGATGTTGCAAAAAAGTACCAGGTTAGGTTCATAACTCATGATGGACAGTTAAGAGCGGAATGGAGGGAAGGGAACACATTGTCATTACATGCCATCCCATACAATATCAGACACAGCATTCTGCTTCAGGGTCTATAAACTGATGTCAAGCATGCCATATGCTTCATTAACTATAGATACAAAAATCAAACTCTGAACTATTGTTCTCTGTCCCTTAACTTCAAATCCAACAAACTGCATCTCTGCATTGCACTTACATTCCAAGATGAATTCAATTAAATNGGTGAGTTTTTGTTCGTATCGTGGAGCAAAAATATGTTCGAATTTCATGTCGTATCCTGAAAATTTCGTATGCTGGGGCGTTCGTAACCTGAGGTACCACTGTATATGTAAAAAAAATAAAATTGCTATTATTTAAAGAAAAATCTAAATAAATTTTTTTTATTTACTTTGTATTTCTTTAAAATACAGTAGAATTTGGTTATTGTATTCACTGTTAGATTACAAATATAAACATACAAACCTGATAGTTATACAAGGTTTTTTTTTTTTAGAGGTTTAAAAATTTTAAATGAAATAAAACATGTAAAAATAATGTTTATGGCCATGGTGTTGGCTTTATTTAAAAGATAGTTTTATGGCATTAGTGTTTAAACATGATTTCGGGTATATGGTCACCATGGCTGGCTTGAATGAAGTGCAATTGAGAAGAACAATTTTCGACCACTTTATTGAGCAACTGGGGCCATATATCGGCAATAATGTGGTGAATGTTGACTTCCAAGTGGTCCAACGTCTGTGATTTATCAGCATAGACTAGTGACTTCACATATCCTCAAAGAAAGTAATCCATAGGTGTGAGATCACACGATCGTGGAGGCCAGTTTACAGGTCCATTACATGAAATTATGCGCTCGTCGGATGTTTTCTGCAATAAATTGATGGTGTCGCACGTTGTGTGGCATGTTGCACCATCTTGTTGAAACCAAAGCTCTGCCACATCAATACCATTCAACTGAGGAATGAAGAAGTCGGCAATCATGGCTCCAAAAGCACTCTCCATTGATGGTAACATTCTGGCCGGCATCATCTTTAAAGAAATATGGGCCTATGATTCCACCTGCTCATAAAGCACACCAGTGACTTTTAATGGATGTAAGTTACTCAACATTTGCCACGTTATTGCTGATATATGGCCCCAGTTGCTCAATAAATTGGTCGAAAATTGTTCTTCCCGATTGCACTTCATTCAAGCCAGCCATGGCACCCATATGCCCAAAATCATGTTTAAACACTAATGGGATAAAATTATCTTTTAAATAAAGCCAATACCATGGCCATTAACATTATTTTTATGTGTATACCTCTAAAAAAACACCTTATACAGTGGGTGATCGGTTAACAAACAGATCGGATAACGAGCACTTTCGCGAAAGATTTTTATGTTCGGACAACGAATACGTGATCGGATAATGAACATCTCACAGAACAAACACAAGAAGAAGCGATGTAAAATAATGAATACCAATGGTATTCCCATGTCTTCAGGAAACAATTCGAAACTTTTCGGAATGTGAGAAACGTCGACATCGACGCTCAAGCCGGTATATACTGATCGGATAGTATTCCTCCGAACTTTGAAACTCTCCCTTGTAATTCCAGCCTTTTATTTTTCTGACAAAATAATTCTTTTATGTATTCGCAAGACTGTCGGGTAGGCACTCGTTAAGTTTTGCGTCTGTTTTTCTTTTCGAAAGGTGAGAGTATAATAGCAAAGGTAGAGAGTGGGCAGAAGATACCTAATGTTGCTGGGCAGTATGGCGTGAACAGGTCTAAAGTAGGCCGCAGTTCAGTCTTATTTAAGAAAAATACCGTATAATCCAGAAGACTCAAGCAGCTAAAGGAATAACAAAAATCACATCTGAGAAATAAAGAACATCGAAGAGTTCATAATAGAACCTGAAACGGATCTGACGACAGAAGAACACCAAGAACTCTTGAATGAAGAACACCAAGAATCTCGGCAAGATATGTTTTTTTCTGAAAAAGAGGATTAATGCCAATATCTGTTATTAAAGATTCTTTGAAGAAGTAGGAAGATGTCAGAACAATGGTCTTAGAATGGCATCTAAACCAGGTTGAGGCTTGGGGATTTCTACAATTGCAATCCTATTAATTACTTACGAAAAATCCTGAAGAAGAGAGAAAATCAATCGACATTAGACAGATTCTTTAACCATTTCAAACGGAAAAAAAACATGACTAATAAAAATGCAAGACTGTGTGTGTATGTATTTTTATTATTACATATAAATAAACGTAGTAAGAAAGTATATATTTTTTATTTTTGGGGGTCTTCAGAACGAATTAATTAAATTCCCATAGAAACCTATGGTAAATCGATAATCGGTTAACGAACAATTCGGATAGCGAACAAAACCTTGGAACGGATTATGTTCGTTAACTGATCACCCACTGTATATTAAAGCTAAATAACTGCCAAATTATATGAGGTTATATTACTATTATTATTATTAAGTAAATGCTAAAGTAGAATCAATAGTCAGCCCTAATGGGAGTTATAGGCCATAGATGCTAAGTTGTGTCCAGCCAGCACTGTAAGTAATTGTACATGGTTATACCTAAATTAATAAGTTATGGAAGCAAGAATCAGATTTTGGTCTGGGTAGCATAACTGGCAACATCACCACACAGTTTGTGGGAGTTGCAGTTTTGAGTCCTGCTTTGAGCCAATTCTTTTCTTTCAGAACCTTTTAAATTAATTATTAATTTAATTATAATTATTAAATTTAGCAAGAGATGGCACCTCTCACTTGTCTCTAGTGCAAAATTAGTTAGCATTTAATTAATAATAATAATAGTAATATAGCTTGATATGATCACTGTGAGATTAGTTTAAACTTACAATGATAATTAATTGATAAACATTAAGTGAGGTAAATAAATAACACTACAGTATAATTAATGAAAATTTATTTTTATTGACATTAAGAAAACAGGTTAAAACAATAAAAAATTGAAGCTTTATTAATTAATATTAATTCAACCATCTCTATCTGCTGATTTTTTACATTAGTTTATTCATAAAATGCAAAAAGCCTATTTACATGAAAATGATAACAACTATAACTAAAGCTATGATTACAATAAACCAAGTTTTACAAGTCCATTTTAACATATTTGTTTTGGGACTTGCTTATACTTAAAACAGTATCCATAATTACAATAAGCAATTTCTATTGTATCAATAGAAACAAATTAATAAAGTTATTTCTTTATATGGTACTATGGTACGTTACTTTGCCCATTACTCTTAAGGTCGATCTTCTCGAGTGGACGAAACTATTGAGCACTGATAATTGGTCGGGGATTCGGTACTGTCCTAGGGACTGGCACGTGAAGTTTTCCAGGTTTTCTTCAAGTGTCTAACACTTAATTAGAGGTTAGGTTTCCATAAAAGTCTATTGGGTTACTTTCTCGTTCATAAAATGATGGATGAGAAAATAACCTAAATCTTTCCAGGCCGAATGAATAAAATCACTGAACACTGGTCGCTGGTTCGAGCCTCGCCAATGGACTGGAGTTTGCCGGGTTTTCTTCACGCATCTAATATCTAAATAAAGGCAAGTTTCCCATAGAAAGTTCTCATAAGATGCAGTCTCTCTTGACAAATCGTCCATGGGTTGCCTTTCCTTATCCCAGCAATTCCATCTTATTGAGATTCACTAGCGTAACCAGGGAAGAATTAGGGTCTTCCCTCAATTTTCTAAAGGAATAAATGAAGAAAAACATCAAATAAGTACAGAGAAAAGATAATCATGCTTACAAAACATCCGTGTTTACTCTTTCTTCACAGAGTTAGTGGCTACACCAACAATAGTATAGGGATAAATGTAGATTTATACGTTCTAATTCGTGCTCCCTAATATCCATTACAGTTACGTTTCTTATTATAATTGGGCTGATTAATATAACTATGCAAAGAATCAAGAGCATAATATATAAATTAACAACGGGCTCTTCCTTCTGTATACTGCTAATATTTAGGAAATTAATATATTTCTATTTTTAACTCTTCTCCCTGATGGCACCAAGAGGGTCCTTTCTTTTAGCAAATTCCATTCGACTAGGCCCACAATGGGGATGGTGAGGGACTGGGCAGGTTTCACTACATTTTTTATTATTTTTTATATTTTTTTTAATCAATATTTTGACTATTATTTTTAAACTTAAATTATCATAACGTGCCAAGGGGAAGGGGATAGATATCCAGGATTTATGGTCAAATATATTTTCCGCGTAATCCTAGAGAGGTCAAAGTGTATAGAGAACAGACATTCTATTATATGTGTATATAGATATCGATGTTAAAAAATAGCGTGTTATATAGTAAAGGGCCATCGAGAGCTTGTATGAGACCCTACAGATTGAGCGAGCCCCTTTTTTTTCATTTATAAGGTAGGAACCGTTATGAATCCCTANGTGAATGACGGAAAAGAAAATGAAGACAAGAATTTTTTCTGTGTATATTCATGATATTTTCATACATTTTTTAAAAAACATTTAACTTTTAACATTTGATTTTAAAAATGTAGGCAAAACTTTTACACTAAAAAACAAGGAATAAATCACTGTATATTCTTAACCTACAGTCATATGTAGGTTAAGAATAGTAGAATAGTATTGTCTATGAAAAACTAGTATGTGATTTTCACACCTACTAGTTTTTTATAGGTATATTTTACCAAATTGACATACTTAGCTGTGCTTCCTTGATATTCTCATGCTATATGGTATCTATCTTATTATGTAAAAAGTTTGATCTAAAATAAACTCTTTCATCTACTGCTTCAAGAAATCATTTCCTTATGCTTGCAATCACATACAAGTTTTCTTTATTGTCACTTGATCTCATGCACAAGATGTCGATTGACATCATTTTCGGTAAACTGAGATCATCAAAAATGACATAGTGGCGAGTTTACATGATTGTTGCAAGTAGTCATGATATAATGGCGAGGTGGTCCATGTAAATACAACCTTGATGCTTCTCTTTACAAAGTAGCCTGAGATGCTATGACCTCCAACAATTTAAATGTTTTCATGACTTTATTTTGTGCTTGAAAAATACAAAAAAAATTCATTTTCTACTCCTCCTGAAATCACCTCAACTCACTTGTCATTTATTTCCAGCTGAATCCATTTCACATTATCCTACACTATCACAAAGTTTGAGGGGCTCCTTATGGAAGACCAGTCAAGGACACTGTACTGTAAACAAAACAATATCTCATAAACTAAACTATGATATTAAAATTTTGCACATGCAGAGAAGAACATACTACAGGATTTTTCAAAATCATCAGATTTGAAGAACAGTAATTATGTATGATAAAAGCAGAAAATAATCACCTTATATATGCAATTGTGTGAAAAATTAACTGCATGTGATTGCAGGTTAACAATACCTCAGATACTTCTGTAAATTGGAGAATTGATCATCTACTGTTGGTGATGACACAAAAGTGTGTTTATTTTTTCTGCTATAAGGAAGTATTAGTATTATGGAGAGATGTAATGTGTCTTCTAATACCAGCAATACATAAGATGCATATTCTATTTTTTGATACTTGGTCCTTGGTCAAAATATCTACACATTCTAATGTGTAGATCCTATCATATTTGGAATATAACTTGAGATTTTTCCCATACATTTTGTTTTGTTAAAGATATGTGAACTTGTAGGATGTAAATATATGTATTTTTCTTTTTTAAACTTTA